CAATATGTATTATATTTTCGATTATTAGTTTATTGAGAGATTATGATCAAAAGAATATTCTTGCAGTTTTTATATTTTTCTAATCGATGTATGAGCAACATGTATTTTGTTTTCCTATATTTCGTTTATAGAGTCACTGATCTACTATTCTTCTTCTTCTTGCTATTGTAATGACTATTATTTCTTTGTTTTTATATATTTTCAGAATTTGGCTCTTTCTACGTAGAGGGTACCCGACATATATTTCATCACAGAGTTAGACTGAATCTAGTTGCAGTTTCAAGCGTCTTTTGAATGGCAACATTGTCTCTTTCAGCTCGCTTCAATTTTTGTTTCTCCTTATAGTAACTTGACGATGATGTTTTGCTTTGTTTCTTGAATCACTTAGCATCCATGGTGAAACCCGGCAGTGAATGAGCCAAAGATTTTGAGATTTCTTCGAGTTTGACAAAACCAAATAGTATGCGTCTGAAAACTTATTGTAAAGGTAATAATACTACATGTTCTTTTGAGTGTTTGCATCATTAGTAATCAATAATGTACATAAAGGGTTCGGTTAATACTATATGGCATAATTATATATATGGACAGTGATGTGTAACAATGTTTGAGTTATTGAAGGTTTTCCTTCTTGCAAGATTCGAGTAGCAGCCAGCGGCGACGAGTGTCTCATTAGTAGCAAAAAATCCTGCAAGCATGAGGTCAGTTGCATAAAAAGAGAACGGTGAGTCAATTGAGTTATTTATAGGCAATTAGAAAACTATAATTATGGATATTCACCTTGATTATTTACTCTTTGCATGTCCAGATACGTAAGTTTTCATCAAGATTCCCAGAAATCCCACAATCTTTGCAAGTCACCTCTACGTTTGAGATCGAATGTTCTCTTCTATGAGCCACCTGGTTGTGAGAAGACTCACATAGCGTATTCCCTACAATTTGTGTCAGTGAAGGGGCCATGAGCTATAACCAAATATCGGTTCTTCTCCATATTATGTAAGAATACAACCTTTCTTTGATTATCATGCTTTTCAAATCTTCAGAAGTGCTTCCTTGCCTTTCTCTATACTATTGAGTTTATTTTGACTTTCACGGGTTTCTTACGGTTTCTTTTAGTTCATTAAAAATAGAATGGTTTAGAAACTTCAGTGGAAAAATGGATCTACAAAAGAGTATCCCATATCACATAACAACAAACACACTTCTTCTCTCAGGTCCGTGATATATTATCACAAGCCAAGCTGCTCCGCAACACTATGCCTAATTCTTTTTGATGAATTCAAGTAAGTTACTCCCAGAACAGGACATGACAACGTAATGTGCATCTTTAAATTCTGTTAATCAAGTAAGTTTCTTCATAGTCCAATTGACAATGATTAGTAAAAATTAATGTTTCTTTTTTCTTTGTTCATGTGAATTTCTTGGCTTGACTCAAAAGACCAATTGCCGATTATTTTTATTTTTTTTAATGAAACTTAAATCCATTTCCATAATATTTTACTCAAACACATGAACATGATCGAATTGTTTGGCAAGTCGTCTAAGTTCTTAACTTTTGTAGGTTAGAGTTCTTAATTGAGTTAGATCGTCATAAAACGATTGCCAAAGAAAATAAAAAGTTGATGAGAAGCTTTGTCTCTCATGGATGCTACTTTGTACCAGTTTTAATTATTATATCGTGTTTTCTGTTTTGGTTGTAGGCCTTTGTTTGTTCTACTTTACTAACATGCATCTCATGGTTCGTTTGTATATTTGTTTAATGCATTTTTGCATATTATCTTTTTAATATTTTGCAGGTCTAATATTTAGGGGGTTTTTTTTAATGGTCTTCTTCTATCACATGATGTCCATATTTATTACGTCTGTGATTGAATGGCTCGATGGATGTGTTTTTCGATGGTGCATTTTTAAAAAATCTGCTTTTGGTATTTCAAATTTTAATCATGATCAGTTTAGCAAAAAAAAAAAAAATTCAATCATGATTTTATTATGTTGCATTTTTGTTTCTTTATTTTTAGAATATAATTATTTGGTTATTTTATACGTGTTTTATATTTTCATTTTAAATAATTGAAGTACAAGTCTATATTTTTATGGTGAAAACTATTTGCTTTTAGGTATGGAGTTATTTCCGTGAAATCTAAATTTATGTTCAGTTGCATATTCCGATGATTGTATCAAGTAAACCACTTAATAGTTTATTAATTTAATTTGAAACGAGCTTTCCGATATGTTTTCGGATATTATAGTTTGATATATTCTTAGTTAGTAATCTTAGTTGTTTATCATTTATGATTTAGTTAGCACCAGAGTCATATTGTAAGTTGATGAATTGTTCAAGCTAATTTAGGAAGTAAAGAAGTTGAATGTAACTCTTTTGGTGTTTTCTAATTTGGAAATTTTCTAAATTTTATTAATTTGATTCTTGCATATGTTGTTTATGGCTCAGTGGTAATTCCGGTTCAATCGACTATAACTGTTATGAATCCGTCATGAAATCCAGTGTTCAAATCCATTCCAAATAACTATTTTAATCAAAAACAATTTACAAATTCCTCTTTCTGTTTTGGTTAATAGTTTTGGTCATGTTGTGGAGTTTAGTGACTTCGTTAAAAAGTTTCTTAGTCATGAAAGTTGTTAGTTACGTAAGATATTCTTGGCTATAACTGATAGTTTTCAACTTGGCTATATGTGAATCTCCGTGTTAGCTATTTTGAGGAACCGTACATGACTTTTGTTTTGGTTACTGAATTAATTGTATGATTCGATTACTTTTAAAAAAAATTATGAGTGGTTTTTACCTATATTTTCATTTTAAAATTTTTTTATTTTTTTTCCTACTTACGTTTACTCTCAGAAACGAGACTATATGATGGCTCATAAAAAGTATCACAAGTTGTTTTTTATATCAAGTTGCGATTTGTTTGTGTTGTCTATAAATTTATTTTATATACAAAAATCATCGTTATGATGTAGAAACATAGAACATAGTAAAAATTATGGTTTTGTATTTTTTTTAGATTGATAAAGAGAGATTACGAGGAAAAATGATTTGTACAATTTTTAGAAAACATGTTCTCAAGAAAAAAAAGAGAATATGTAGATTATAATAGAAATTCAGGTATAGAATCCACATTTATAGTAGATCATAGTAATAATCATCATATACAAATATAAATATAAAAATTCGAGAAATGATGAATAAAAAAGAATAAGTACATGAAGAAAAATGAAGGTTGGAAGAAGTCGAGAAGATGTTAGCAAAGATAAAGATGATGGAGAAAAATTGGTTTGATGGAAACCAAAGAATCAAAGAGAAGTAAAATATTAAACATAAACTTTAAAGAGAATTTGTAATAAAACTTGGGTTGTCAGTGTTTGTGAATATGGTTGCAGAAAGAATCGAAAAATAGATTAATAAGAAAACATATAGAAAATCACAAAAGAAATTAGATTCATGATGGGAAGTATTTTGTGTCACAGACTCACAATAATATAACAATATCACCTTAAGGCAAACAAACTAAGTAGATGTGTTAAATTAGGATACGTTTGATTTGATATGATTAAATCTAACCAAAATAATAAATTTGAAAACCAAATCATATTTTTGAATGGTTTAAATAGATTTATTAAATATATTAAATAAAGAAAACATATCAAAATTTGAACTTAACCAAGAGAAAAAAAGAAATAAATCTCAAAACCTAAATTAAGTGGAAAATTAATTAAGGATGTATTTGATTAAACTTCTAATCAAATAAAAAGCGTACTCATAGTTAATAAAATCCAAAGATCTAACGAAAACTAAGAGAGTGGCTGATATTCGGTGTAGGCATACAACCATAAGTCAAAAAAATTGCATTACTTTAAAAAATTTTGGCTATCCAAAATTAATATTAACTCCAATTAAGAGATTTGTGTTAAATTTAGTTTTTTGAATGAAATGTAAATTAGTCGTTTACGATCTAATTTAAAAGACGACGAAACTTCTCTCCGAAACTTTACGACTATTCTCATATGATACTCCAAATTTTTATGCTAGATATCTACGATCCCGTAATCTGATCCGAACAATTAGCGCTAAAGAAAGGAAAGACCATGCGTTCCACTGAATGAAAAAAATATTAATTTAAAAAAAAACTTATTGTTTAAATTAGAACTCTGAGTTAGAGAAAAGAACAAAAACAAAAATTAATCTTAGGCTTCCATGTTAGGTTTAATACCCTTTAATTTTCAAGAAATTTGATGGTATAATGTTAATGAATAATTTTAAATGTTTGAATTAAAAAATATTAATGAAAATACTAAGAGAGAGAAAGGTTGTACAGGCTAAATTTGCAATAAATGTTGGGACTTCAAAGGAGGATAACAATGATAGTAGAAAAAAATTCAACATTATCATAAATATTTTCAAAATGAACAAAAAATTACATTTTATACAAAATAAAGATTATTTATAAATTAGAATATTGATTTCTAAAATTAGATCTAAAATATTAACATGTTATAAGTCGTAGCATGTTCCTAGAATTTTTAATATGTTGTAACAACCTCTAACAATGACATATGATTAATTATATGAGAAAAGTGCATTATGCATGTGTCTACTTTAGTTGCATGATTTAGTTTCGAGTTATAATTTGAAAAATTGCTTATTTAAAAAAAAAGTTCACAATCTCAAATATATTATGGGAAATTATGTTGAATAACCATAAAAAAACTATAACTAAAATACTAAGAAAATAACCTAGATCTAATGGTTGATGGTTTGTCACATATAATTATTTTGGCTATTTTTAATTATAATTTTTTTTAGTTAGTTAGCAAATTGACCGATATATTATTGATTGCTTTCGCAATGACAAAAATTAACACTCAGTTGATTTTTTTTCCATATATAACTACATTATGAATAACAATATCATTCAAGTTAATCATAAAAACTAAATTTAGTACTCAACCACAATAACATATTTATTGACACTCGAATTTGAATAAATTTAGTAGTCAACCAAAATATTTTTGAGATGTTTCTCTATCTTGAAGTTGTTACCATCGACTTTGTATGCATAATTTTTGTATATTAGATTAATGTTATTTAGATCAATTGTATACATTTACCTTCGAATGTTTATGTTCGATTAAATTATGTAGATTTTACTCCGTGACAATGTTGGATAATGTATTATTGAAAGATAATATGTAAAATAATTATATTTTAGTGATCAACAGTTTTGGAAAATAAGTTTTATAATCTTAGTCTACTAATTTTTAAATATATTTTTATCATAATTTTAGTGTTATATCTTC